TTGTTTATGTTTGCATAATAAAAAACTATGTAAAATGTGAAAAAAAAAATACATAAAAAAGTGAATTTTTATTAAACATTTGAAAATAATTATTTTAAAATATTTTAAAAATGAATACATTTAATACATAATATAGCTGGATATAAAGCAATATTTACGCTTGGTCCATGCTTCTGAATACAATTTGATTTTTGGACCTTAGTATTAAAAGATTTGGGCACCTCTGGTTTAAAAATAATAATAATAATAATAATAATAATAATAAATAAAATGTATAATAATGTGTGTGTCTGTGTGTGTGTTTGTCTGTGTGTGGGTGTGTGTGTGTGTGTGTGTCTCTGTGTCTGTGTGTGTGTGTGTTTGTCTCTGTGTCTGTGTGTGTGTGTGTTTGTCTCTGTGTCTGTGTGTGTGTGTGTTTGTCTCTGTGTCTGTGTGTGTGTGTGTTTGTCTCTGTGTCTGTGTGTGTGTGTGTTTGTCTCTGTGTCTGTGTGTGTGTGTGTTTGTCTCTGTGTCTGTGTGTGTGTGTGTTTGTCTCTGTGTCTGTGTGTGTGTGTGTTTGTCTCTGTGTCTGTGTGTGTGTGTGTTTGTCTCTGTGTCTGTGTGTGTGTGTGTTTGTCTCTGTGTCTGTGTGTGTGTGTGTTTGTCTCTGTGTCTGTGTGTGTGTGTGTTTGTCTCTGTGTCTGTGTGTGTGTGTGTTTGTCTCTGTGTCTGTGTGTGTGTGTGTTTGTCTCTGTGTCTGTGTGTGTGTGTGTTTGTCTCTGTGTCTGTGTGTGTGTGTGTTTGTCTCTGTGTCTGTGTGTGTGTGTGTTTGTATGTGTGTGTGTGTGTGTGTCTGTCTCTGTGTGTGTGTGTGTGTGTGTGTGTCTGTGTGTGTGTGTGTGTGTGTGTGTGTGTGTGCTGTAGTTTGGACACTACACTGATCGACTTCACCGATATGAAGTGTCAGCGAGGAGACCTGAGCTTCATCTTCTGCGGAGACGCCGCTCCCTCCGAGTCCTTCGTGGTTCTGGACAACGAGCAGAAGGTTTATCAGCGGATTCATCACGAGGCACGTGCTCCGTCAGGACACTCATCACGCGTGTTCTGCGCTGATGTGTGTGTAACACGTGTGTGGTGTGTTTCAGGAGTCAGAGATGGAGACGGAGGAGGAGGTGGACATCCTGATGAGCAGCGACATCTACTCCGCCACGCTCTCCACCAAATCCATCACCTTCTCGCGCGCACAGACCGGCTGGCTCTTCCGCGAGGACAAAACCGTACGCGTCTGGAGATTATAACATTCAATCGAATTAATTACATATCAATCGATTTGAGCTAAGAAATTACCCCCCAAAAGATCATTTGGAGAAAAGCAGTGAATAGACATTACAAAAAGTAGCTAAAAATAGAATTTATTACATATAACGCATAAATTACATAAATAAAGCTATAAAAATAAATGGGTTTTAAATGAGCATTAATGACTTTGAATCACATTTACAATCATGCAGATATTTGGGAAGAAACGGCACTCCTACTTATAGTTTATCATGTAGAAATATATGACACAAACTCGTACAGGGGCATTTTTGCCCCATATTTAGAATTATGGGGTCATTTTAACTGCATTTCTGATACAGTACTGTCTGTTGTTTCTCTATTTTGAAAATTGCTCTACGAGCGACACATGATGATGTGAACAAATCAGAACAAATCAGTGTTTTTGAAGCATTCAGTTATGTAAAGCTTCATTTAAAGAGAGTCACTTACTTTGTTTCTGAATGAATCAGCTGTTTTGAATGAATTGGTTGAATGAATGATTCAACGACTCACTTATTAAGACTGCCAACTACTGCCGATTTCAGTTTTGTATTTAAAGTGTTTAATTAAAAAATTACATTTAATATTATTTTTTTCAAATGTAATTTAAAAATTTATATTTCAATATTAATATTATTTAAAAAAAATAATTATTAAAATATTTAATTATTAAAAATACATTTCAATATCGGTATTTTTAAAACATTAATCTATAGCATTATTTATGTAGTTGTAATTGCAGTGTAAATGCAGCTTCTGCAGTGCAAAGATGGATTGTGTTGATACTGATTTCATTTGGTTGGTAACAGCTCTATATTGTCTTATTATTGCAATTGAACTTGATTAAATGTAAGAATTTGGCATTAAAGATTAACCAAACGTCTATAAAACTTAGAAAAACTGCTCTTAAAAGGTAAAAATGCCCATTTAAGCTGGGAAATATCACCTGTTAATGAAACTACAACACTGAATATGAGGAATAGTTCTCTCTGAGTCGTCTGAAAGCATCCTGAGCCTCTCGTTGACGTTCCCGCAGGAGCGAGTGGGGAATTTCCTGGCGGATTTCTACATGGTGAACGGCCTGGTTCTGGAGTCCAGGAAGAGACGCGAGCACCTGAGCGAGGAGGACATCCTGAGGAACAAGGCCATCATGGAGAGCTTCAGCAAAGGAGGAGGGAGTATCATCGAGCAGAGCTTCGAGGTGAGTCCGGTCACGTGACGCTCGGTGCTTCTGCAGGGTTTCTGGGTTTCTTAATTTTTCATAGTTCACCCCTAAAATGAAAATTACCCCATGATTTACTCACCCTCAAGTCATCCTAGGTGTATATGACTTTCTTCTTTCAGACGAACACAATTGGAGTTATATTTAAAAACATCCTGGCTCTTCCAAGCTTTATAATGGCAGTGAATGGGTGTTATTATTCAATCGTCCAAAAGAAGTCCAATAAAGTGCCTCTCAAAGCGCCATGTGTGAATAAAGGCCTCCTGAAGCGAATCGAAGCGTTTGTGTACGAAACAAATCCATATTTAAAACTTTATAAACCGTAATCTCTCCGCTGTCGGAGAAAGCAAAACAAAACACTGGTCACGAATTAGAAGCACAAAACGAGGATTTGTAAAGACAAATGTGGGAGGATTCCGATATAAGCCGAGAGAAGACTGGTTTTCCTTTGCTAAAGTAAGGAAAGTTAGCTTCCTTTGCTCCTGTAAACAAACGCCGGTTCTCGCGAGACTAGCATACGCTCACCGGATCTTACAGTTAGCGGAAGCTAGAGATTACGGTATGTAAAGTTTTAAATATGGATTTGTTTCTTACACAAACGTATCGATTTGCTTCAGGAGGTCTTTATTCACCCCCTGGAGCCGTGTGAGGCACTTTTTATGATGGATGGATGCGCTTTATTGGACTTCTTTTGGACTATTGAAAAATAACACCCATTAACTGCCATTATAAAGCTTGGAAGAGCCAGTACGTTTTTTAATATAACTCTGTGTTCGTCTGAAAGAAGAAAGTCATATACACCTAGGATGGCTTTAGGGTGAGTAAATCATAGGGTAATTTTAATTAATTTGAATTTTTGGGTGAACTGTCCCTTTAAGGCCTTAACAACTCTGCGATCAGAGCAGAAAGTCTTAAATGTAGTGTCATAAATCCTGCAGAAACCCGATTCTGGTGATGTTGTGTTCATTCAGGCTGATTATTATTTCAGGTGATGTGACTGCTGTTGTTTTTTTTGCTGGTTGCTGACAGCAGTTTTCCGCATTTATAAATCTGGGTCGGACACATTATTCCGCATGTGGAGCGCTGGACGTTTGCCAGCCGTCTGTGCAGATTATGTTCATGAGCACTGACTGGATGTGCTCCGACGGGACTTTAGCTTCAGGTGCCGTCGCTTCAGACTGTGAGAATCTCACCGACGTTAGAAAGCTGCTTCTGACTGTTTCCACTGAGATGAACCATTGGCTGCTGGACTGTAACTCCGTAATCCCACAATGCCATGCGTTAGCAGCGTTTTCTCTTGATTTTATGGAATAGTTCACCCCAAAATGGAAATTAGCTGAAAATGTGCTCACTCAGGCCATCTGAGATCAGGATGAGGTTTGTAGAAATGTAGCATTGCATCAGTGTCTCACTGCAAGTGAATGGGTGCCGTCAGAATGAGAGTCCAAACAGCTGATAAAAACATCACAATAATCCACAAGTAATCCACAGCACTCCAGTCCATCAGGTAACATCTGGAGAAGACAACAGCTGAAACACATCCAGCATTAAGACGTTTGTAACTAAAATACCATAGAGTCCATAATCCATAATAACTCTTCCTCCAGTGAAAAAGTGTTCTGGTGTGAATCAGGAGGGGCCTTAATGAAAAGTCTATAACATACTTCGGTTAAAATTTCTCAATGGTAGTGTAAAAAACACCCTTTTTAACTCTGTCAAAATCAGCTCTGTTTCTAGTCCATGTTGCTTTAAATGCTAATGAGCTCTGCTGGCCCCGCCCCTCTCTTCCGTGGGGTGACGAGCAGACAGTAAACTTCAGCAGCGAAACTTGCTAACTAGCACATATTAGGAAAGGCGATTTGCAAAGATTCATAAAAAACCCTTATACTCACTTATGTAGATGAAGCTGGATCACGAATGATTCGCATGAACATAAACGCATTTAGGCAGATCGGAGATCGGCACATTCCCTTCAAAAACCATAGATGCATTTATATAGATCGGGGATCGGCGCATTGCCTTCGAAACGAAAGTACCGTTAATCCTCTGCGAGTTCAGCGGCTCAGATGTCGGGAGTAAATGACGACTGCTATGTTCATTATTACATCCAACAACAGAACACCTCAATCGCCTAATCGGAGACGTTCTTGTCTTCCCCTGCACTGGAGTCAACACAATGGCAGACTGATGACAGCTCACTCAGGGCGGAGCTAAGGTAAGACGGCCCTGTCAATCAACTATCGTGGGAGGGGCCTGTGCAGAACTATGTCATTCTGACAGGAACCTCAGAACAGCCTGATTTGAGAAAGGAGATTTTAAAATAGGGATTTAAAAAAAACACTAAGTGGATTTTTATCATTATAGGATGGATGTGTACACACACACTTCCAACACACATTTATGTTCAAACAACAACAAAAGTGAATTTTGTATCCGATGACCCCTTTAACTGATGGACTGGAGTGCTGTGGATTATTGTGATGTTGAGCATCTCTTATAAAACTGAAGTGTACTAACTGTTTGACTCTCAGATGATACTGTTCATGAGAGCTGCGGTTGATTGTGATTGTAGTGTGTGGTGAGCAGCGCCCTCTGCTGGTGATGAACCGCTGATGCAGCGTAAACCCCATTCATGTCTTTGGCCTGAGAACAATAAATATAGATCATCGATGAATTGTCTATATTTGAACCTTTGTGTCTCTGTGCTCTGACAGCCGGTGCGGCGTCAGTCGCTGACCGCTCCGTCTCCGAACACTATCTCCTGGGAGGAGTACATCACCGCCGAGACGGGAAAGTACGTCAAACCTCCATCATATACTCAAACACACGGTGAGGGGAGGCTCATGTCCTGTGTTTGCTCTCTTCTAGGGCTCCTCATCTGGGCCGAGAGCTGGTGTGCAAAGAGAGCAAGAAGAACTTCAAAGCAACTGTAGCCATGAGTCAGGACTTTCCTCTGAGCATCGAGTCGTAAGTATCCCGTGCGCGCTCAGCAGACTCCGGGCGACGTCCATGTGGTGTTTGATGCTGATCACATCTCGTCTGACTTGTTTTACAGGCTGTTAAATGTTTTGGAGGTCATCGCACCCTTCAAACACTTTAATAAACTCCGAGAATTTGTTCAGATGAAACTTCCGCCTGGATTTCCTGTCAAGTTAGGTAAACAGACACACTTTCAGCACGACCCATAATACTTTGGTTCATCTTTGAAAAAAAAAAAAAGTTTTTTTTTATGAAACTTGAGAGGCTTCTATCCCTCCATTGTGTCCACAGTGAATGATATGAGAGTGACTAAATTATCATTTTTGATAAACTGAAACAAATACACTGTAAACAACAAATACACGTAAACAACAAATACACTGTAAACTAATAAACTGTAAACAAAATGCACTGTAAACAAATACACACTAAACAAATACACTGTAAACTAATAAACTGTAAATGAATAAACTGTAAACGAATAAACTGTAAACGAATACACTAAACAAACACACTGTAAACTAATAAACTGTAAATTAATAAACTGCAAACAAATACACTGTAAACTAATAAACTGTAAATGAATAAACTGTAAACGAATAAACTGTAAACAAATACACTAAACAAATACACTGTAAACTAATAAACTGTAAATGAATAAACTGTAAACGAATAAACTGTAAACAAATACACTGTAAACGAATAAACTGAAAAAAATACACCGTAAACTATAAACAAATACACTGTAAACTAATAAACTGTAAACTAATAAATGGTAAAAATACACTGTAAACTAATGTAATTAATATTAACAAAACAACTCTTAATGTAAATCTCCGCTTGATCATTGTGATGCACAAATAACTAGAATGGCAGTTTGATTAGTTTTATTATAGTTGATGTTGCCTGAAGCGCTTGTTTTGTTCTTCAGGATTTTGTAAGATAATGTAAAGATGATTTAATGCAGTGATGACACATGTGGCCAAAAAGACGAATATTTATTCATTTGGAGACTGAATAGTAGTTGTCCTATAATTCGAGTGTGGTGTGTTCTGATGATGTTCTCTTCCAGACATCCCCGTTTTCCCCACCATCACTGCCACCGTGACCTTTGAGGAGTTCCGCTACGATGAGTTCGACGACTCCATTTTTACGATTCCCAACGACTACAAGGAGGATCCCAGCCGCTTCCCAGACCTCTGAGCCGCTCGGCGTTCAGGATTTTGTAAGATAATGTGAAGATGATTTAATGCAGTGATGACACATGTGGCCAAAAAGACGAATATTTATTCATTTGGAGACTGAATAGTTGTTGTCCTATAATTCGAGTGTGGTGTGTTCTGATGATGTTCTCTTCCAGACATCCCCGTTTTCCCCACCATCACTGCCACCGTGACCTTTGAGGAGTTCCGCTACGATGAGTTCGACGACTCCATTTTTACGATTCCCAACGACTACAAGGAGGATCCCAGCCGCTTCCCAGACCTCTGAGCCGCTCGGCGTCACCCCTTCATCCCATCTCCATCTCCTCCCATCCACATCAGCAGATGGAGAGGTGTAGGAAACACTCGATGTCATGTGGACACAGGGATCGTGCTGAAGTGAGTGAACCACTACATGATGAAGCTCTGGACTGAGCTCCTCACCAGAGACACGGAGCGCCGCTTCACATCTCCTCTGTAACTGGCAGGAATACGGCATTATAAATTATTACACAAGCCACGCTTTCATATATATCTTTGTTACAAACTTACTTCACTTAAAGGAAACGTGCATATTTAGGAAAGAAGTGGATGGCGATTGTATATGATTGGAAACCGGTCACAGAAAGCAATGTATATGTCATTTCTACAGACTTTCTTTGTGTAAATACCACTTCCTTCTCCAGTTCTTTTGCTTGTTGCATTATGGGAAATGGGCTTGTTCACTCTGTCCTTCACTGTGCTTTTGTTCGGATCGTTTGCTTTCTCGCATCCTAGCGTTTATGGACCGGATGTAAATGTAGAAGAAATGTTTCACTTTATTTTCACCTTGATAGATGGATGTAAATACATTCGGATTTAAAGATGTTTTCCAATGTAGTATAACTGACATGCGTAACTGACGATATTGAGATATTAGTGTAAAATGTTATGGCGGCGAGTGTTTTATATGTGTGTTTGCACCAGCAATATCCCATTGGACAGTTTCCACTTTTATGTCTCTTGTGTTTAGTTTTTCCTTCTCCGAATGGAATCGAGCTGCAACGCTTCCACGACCCACTACTGGCTAGTGTGGAAACTCGCTGTATTGCTTTTTTATTTTTGTTACCGGCGTCGTCTTCCTATGTTTAATGACGTTAGAGTTGCTTTATGCCTTCAATACTCTTCAGATTTTCTCCCAGATGCATTGAGCTCCCGGATGTTCAGCAGGAACCTTGTATGAACCTGCTGCACTTTTACATGACAAATTGTAATTAATAAAATGTCCACGTATCAGTCTCTTGTGGGGATTTGTTTTGGTCCAATGGTCTTTATTAGCATGCATGATATTCTAAAGGGTGCAAACTCATGAGGGGTGATGGAGTAGTTCACTTCCAGAATAAAAATCTGGTGATTTACTCGCCTCAATGTCATCCGAGATGTTCTTTCTGTCTTCAGTCGCAAAGAAATTAAGGTTTTTGAGGAAAAGGTTCCAGGATTTTTCTCCATATAATGGACTTCAATGGAGACCAACTGAAGATCAAACCAGTTTCAGAGCCGAGGTCTACAGGATCCCAGCCGAGGAATAAGTCTCATCTAGAGAAAGTCTTATCTAGAAGTCTTCTCTAGATTTTTATTCTGGAAGTGAACTACTCCTTTAAAGTTTTTATATGTTTAACGGGTGAAAAAAGTACAGAGAAATGTGTACCGTGTCAAACTTTTACTTAGTTAAAATGTCCTGGAGTGAATTGAAGAGGAATAGACTTGTTCGGCATTGCTGGGAACGCCCACAAAAACATCATAACCGTTTATGCCGAAGGGGAAAACAAACCATTCGAATTAACGCGCGGAGACCTTGTTAAGTATAGTAGGCTAACCATGTTTTTTTTGGCGTTTTTATTACCAATTGTAGCCTATAACCACAGTTTTACTACAAATACCATGGTTGTAGTAGCCTAAGCTGTCTCTTGCTCAATTAGGTAACAAACAATGTGGGGAAAGACACCTCTGGCCATTCCGCTGGGTCGTTTGTCCAGTCACAGATACCGTACGGACAGTCCGACCCAATACGGCTCAGTTTTTATGCGTATGTTGCTCTGTCGAGCGGCAGAAATGATTTTATGTAGGCCATTCTGAGTGAACACCATGCTTTTCCAATGAGGGGGAAAGTCTGTTTTCCCCCACGCCGACTCCGCCCACACAGCTATGCCGTGACACCAATCAAGTCTATTATATGTGGAGATTTTAAGTATTTAAAAGTAAACATTTCCGTTTTAAAAATCGACTGGTTTGTCAACTTTGATTTTCTCAGTGTCCTGACCAGTGTTGGGGGTAACGCATTACAAGTAACGCGAGTTACGTAATCAGATTACTTTTTTCAAGTAACTAGTAAAGTAACACATTACTTTTTAATTTACAAGAGAATATCTGAGTTACTTTTTCAAATAAGTAACGCAAGTTACTTTTTTTTTTTCAATTTATTGATTGACAGCTCTGGTGTCGCCATGGTGACAGAAATCAGAAGATGTTACTGTAGTTCTAAAATAAATATGAATATGCATTAATTCATCTCACTCACAAAAAAAACAACAACACAGATTCAGTATTCCTCAAAATGAATAAAAATAATGCAACTCAGAATATGACACAAACCTGCAATAATTAAATGTTAAACAACACAAATATGCTTTATGTATTTAATCCCATTCTATTTGCTTCTGATCTTCGATGATCCAGTTCAACCGTACTAATAAGCACAAATTACTCTAGACGAACATTTGTGTGTTTTTTTTATTGCTGAAGTGTGTTGAAATATCTTCTGCGTTCTACTTCACTTTCCCTTCAGCCTGAGGCTTATTCATTTCATTTTTGGTGTGAAAAAGCTTTTATATTTGCCAAAAATATAACTTTTTTATTTTAAAAGCAAACAAGCAAGCCCTGTCCAGATTTTAAAAGTAACGCAACTCATTACTTTCCATAAAAAGTAACTAAGTAACGTAATTACTTTTTTAATGGAGTAACGCAATATTGTAATGCATTACTTTTAAAAGTAACTTTCACCAACACTGATCATAACTGTTAAATTCTACAAACCAATATCAGAAAAGCAGTTACCAGTAACTAGCAGGAGCTAAAATAAATAAGAATGATGAATGTGCTCGAGGCGATACTCTTCTTATTTCGCGGCTTTCTGGAATACTTGATTCTGATTGGTCAGTCGCGGAGTTAAGCGGGAAAATATTTTCAAATATTCACGCCGTCTGCTCTTCAAACCGATGATCCCGCGCCTCACACCAACCGTCGCCTCAGAGGATTGAGTATTAATATTAATTTAATATTTTAGCAGTGCCGATTGTTTTGTGTATTGTATCCAGCGACTACTAAATTGTCTCTAGCAATAATTTCAAATAAGATCAAACAATTAAATACGTGTATGTAAGCACTGTTGTTGTAATTTCGACGCATCTGAAATCGGTCACACCATTGATATTACATCAGAAGTTAAAGAAATACTCTAGAAAACTGCGTTTAAACACACGAGCACAGTTCATCTGAATGAGAAAATGTATCTTCTTTAACTTGATGTTGTTCTGCTGTTTTGTGTTCATCTGCTCTTTTTACATTGATACGTGGTAATGGACTATTTTGTCCTCACCTGAAGCTTTAAGGTAATATACAGATAAAAGTATAACATAATTTAAACCCAAATCAATATTTAACATGCATCTGTTTAGTGAGTAGTCGTGTAATAAGACGCGTATACAGTCAGTAGGTATCTCAAAATAGGCTCTTAATTCTAAATACCACTGATTTTTACATTTAAGTCTCTATGAATAAATCCCACTAACTACATAAATACAACATCTACAAAAAACTTGAAAAAAACAACAACATTTAAATACGTAGCTCTGCTGTCAAGTCAAGAATTAGCGTTTCTGCATTTGAATTACGGCCCGTTCACACCAAGGACAATAACTAGCTATTTCGATAAAGATATCGTTTTTAAAATCATTATAAATTTAAAAGAATAGTAAAGTCCACACCACAGGAGAACGATATCATTAAAATCACTTTCAAAGCGATTTCTTCCAGCCAATGAACGATAAAAACAGACAGCCAATCAGAATCCATCCTCGAGCATTTAACGCAACAAACGACATTATAATAAACGTTATCATGCGTTGGTGTGGACGCTAACATAGTTATCACTGACAGTGTGAACGAATCTTTAATCTTGTGTTATTTAATGTGTAAACAGCCTTGCCTCATAATTTCACACGCAAAACTGACTTAAGAATTGATGCGGTTTAGAATATTTGCATTCAATTACCGCAAACATTTAATTAAATGATCCAAATATATTTTTTGCTATACAATCTGAAAACAGACATTGGACAAATGTGATTTAGTGCTTCACAACCCTCCTTGGTTTTGAAGGAACAAATAGACTAGAATTTTATATGAAGTTTTATTTTCAATTCGTAACATTGCAAACAGTACAGAGAAGTCCTTTTCTTAGCAATCTACAGAAAAACACACTGTGGTAGATACAGCTGGACTGTCGAATGACCTGCGAGAGAAAGTAATCCAGTTCATGCGAAGTTCCACAAACGAGTTTAAAATGACAAACTAACTCAGGCTAACTATAAAAAACAAATGCAATTTCATTAAAAGAAAAAAAAACCACACGGCTTGACAATGTTATCCAAGCACTTTTAATTAGAGGGTGATTGCTTTAAATAGAAACTGCAAACAGACATAGTGAATGGGTGTATTTTTCAACGGTCTACACTAAATGTACAGTATAACATCGTTCCACATCAGCCATGAGAGAAGAAACCGCTCTAAAACCGGAGAACTTCTTAAGACGAGCGTGTACCAGTAAATACAGCAGATTCTGAGGATGCGGTTTTAAAACTCGAAGGAATGAAGGAGTTTCAGACTGATCTAGAGCGGGCTTTCCTCTGTCTGAACTCTACTGAACAATACACTCAAACACTGATCCGTGGGCTGCTTCAGTCGCTCATG